TCGTAATCAGAACGCAAATAGCAGGTGAACATATGTTTTCGGTGTGTTCCCACCCAAATAATTACAATCACATGTATATAAGAAAATAACGGGAGGAGTCGAGATCAGAGGGTTATAGTAAGGGGGTGGATCAGGGAAAAGTTTGTCTCTAGTTCCTTTGTTCAGATAAGAACAGGTTGCGTGAGTAATGGTAATTGATTTGGTTCGGCACAGTGCTCACGCGTGAAATGGGAGTTTGAGTACCTGAACAAGTGCTTTTGAGTGCACAATGTTAGCTTCAACAAGCGGATGTTAATTACCTCGACTGTTGCTGACGTCCTGATTCGAATTGCCTTGGATTTGTGCTGTGGGACGTGGTAGATGATAATAAAAGCCGAATTAGTGTCCCCCTAGGCTCAGCCTCCACCAAGTGTGCAGCAATCGAACTGGAGAGAACTGGGGAACTGAAGACAAACTTGTCCCTACTTCGTCCCCTTTTTATAACCGCGTGACCTCGTCCATATGACCTCAACACAATACCTTTCCGGTTATTTTATTGCATTGATGTGATTTTATTGGTATCAGAAGGTACTCACTGAAAACATTTGTTTGCATATGATCCGTGTTTGTGAACTAAAATCTGTAAAAATAACCTATAGTTTGCGACGTTTTTGTCAGTTTTCCCATGGAAAAGATCACCAGATAGAGAAACCTGAGGCTATGCCCAGATTTTGCGTTCAGGAGAAACAACTGAAAGTAGTAGAATGTATGAAATCGTTACTGTCATTTTCTATCAACAGTCGTTCAACTGCGTGAGGGACAGATATTGTAGCAACGTGAATAGCAAACCACCAGTGTACCAGTGAGAGCGAGGCCTCAGAAGTAGGCAGTTTAATATCAACTGGCAGAAGTTCAGTCTCTTTTGTACATAAATTTCAGATAACTCCACGACCGAAGCAGTCTCTACGAACGAGAACCGATCCACTTCTGCTGCCAAACATTCGGGTACAGAACCGGTTGATGTTGGCGGACAGGAAACACACAAATTGAAACCGAGGGACAAAAGCAAATTGAACTATCTCCAAAGCGATTGGTAAGGGGGCCGGGGGGGGGCTATGACTCTTTATGTTTTAATTGCTCGCAAGACTATTCTGCTTCTCGATTTTACATCAGGACATCCGTCGAGAATGTGTACTTGTAGAGTAACTGAAAAAGCAAGTGTACTACAGTACTACACGATGCTTATACCGTTAGACGTTACACTGTTGACAACTGCTTGATCTCAAAAATGTAAGAATACACATCGATGGAAACTCATGGTACTGCTTTAGGGTCCGATATCGGTGAGGTATCTAGGCCAGAACATGCCCAACCTCCAAGTAATCGTTGACTGCATCAGTTGACAGGCCTCCGAGATCGGCCTAGAGGTGAACACATCAAAAACCAAAACCTTTGCGACAGTCTCGATTCATCCAGAAAATGCTTTACTACTAAACGGCGAGCGGATCGAATCCGTCGAACGCTTCAAATACTTGGGCTCAACCATATTCCCCAATGGCTCAGCTAAAGTGCCCATCGATACTGCAAGAATGACGTTTTTAAAGCTGAAGAATACCGTTTGGCGAAGAAATAAAACCAGCCTCAAGACAAAAATCCGAGTTCTCCCTGTAACAGTCGGTCCTGTCTTGCTATACGGGTGCGAAACCTGGCCAATTAGAGTCTAAGTCTCGCAGATTAGAATTCCTCGATCGCTGGTGCCTAAGAATCATTCTGGGAGAACGATGGAGGAATCAGCTTTCAAATGAAGTGGTCAGAAATCGATGTTTTAATCCTGTATGATTGTGGACGTTAATACAACGGCGGTGACTACAATGGTTTGGTCACATTCTTTGTAAGTCTGATAACGACCTGACAGAAGTTGTCTTGGCACCGCCTTCCTGCCCGAAGTGGCGCTGTCGACAGCTTGGTCTCCGTTCTGTCCATGGCGTTCGCCAACGGAACTCAAGCTGGTTCACAATCTGCGCTTATCTTGCCGCAGATTGCCGAGTGTGGGCAGCGGCAATTCGGGATACCCATAAAGCCGGCTTATCCTCTCCCAGGAGCCAGTCACCGTAAAGTAAGTAAAGTAAGTAAGTACTTAGGGACCCACAATTCAGCCATTACCCCACCTTCAGCTGTCGAGAAAAGCGCAGGTTTAACAAAGAAAAAACAACCACATAACAGTATTAAAGTAACCTGTGAGGGAACAAAGTGTATTCTCCAAAGTTGCATGCAAACGGCCTTCATTTACTTGTTACATAACGTGCACTTGATGGACTGAACACAAAAGACAACAAGTGGTTTATCTCACTCTCAGTTCTTTATGACATTGTCTAGCAGTGTATGTATCCAGGTGACCAGTTTTGAGATATTGTCTTTGGTTATGCGGTTATTTCCGTTCGCTATCCGAAAAGGACATCCAAAGTGATGATGTTCTTCTGCAAGTGCACAGTATTCAATGACACACGAAGATCAGAGCTGCCAGTTGCGAATGGTCTAAATTCGGTCGTCTAATTTTCCACAGCCGTGGAAGCATAAGAGCTCGGTACAACCGAGATTCACCCATACGAATGGTACATTATTCTAAAAGATAATCAGTTTTCCATTAATACTTATGTAAACAAGGTTCAAATGCAAATTTTGCACCGTTTAGAAAAACTCGATTAAGCGTCCTTGAACACACTTGACCTCAAATGTCGCGGGTATAGTTAATCCAATCGATAAAAAATAATCCCGTCTGACTTTTCTGGTGACCGGAGTTGCGACTAGTCAATCAATTATGATCATGTAAGGTAGAAAAAACAGTAGTGCAATCACGATGAAATAACCCACAGTTCCCTCACCCGTCTTTTGATTCTAATCATTGAGTACTAATGAATTTGCGCTCCAGCTGTTCTGTAAATCACTCTTTATCCCGAAGACTCTAACAGTCGAGATCATTGATTGCTTTCCTCTTCTCGCCTATTTGTTTTGTCATTTCCGCTCATTGTGTACTTCACTTGTATCAATTTCTCATCCTATGCAATATTGCTTGGTATCTTCCAGGGGTATAGAAGATCAGCAAACGGCTCAGCTACTTCTGAAACGCGCACGACGAATGCAACCTCGACGAGGTCACAAACCACACGGGGTTGTAACAGACGCTCTCGGTTTGTCAAAACATTTATTTATTCACTCTGATATCATTCATTTGTTAAGACACAGAGGTCATGATTAGTTATACCAATGATTCACTACCTTTCATAGACAGTTCAATAATCGATTTTCAAGGATAAGGTTGAAGCAAGTCGGAATCTGAGTACCTCTGACGGGATGTAATGTTGACCCGAACCGCTTGCCTCCCCCAAGCCACCTTCC